GTGGAAAAGGCAGCTGACAGGAGTTAAACTATGTTCTTATGTTCAGGGATAGCCATGTCCATAAATTATAATTATCGTTAAATTATTAAGGAGTCAATTGCGTAATATCACTCTTAAATTTTAATTATTGAAATAATCATCGATTTAAATATTCAAATTCCGAGTTATTTATTAATCAGTCATTCAGTTATTAGGAAGATTGACGATCATTTGGATAATCGAAAATCTCTTATAAAAAATTTAGTATTATTTACTTAATCCTCGATGACTCACTCAATGAGCGCGATGTTTTCGTTTTCGTTCATATTTTAGCGTGTTTCACGACACTTAAAAATTCTGAAACACTTAGAGTTCCTAGTTCAATCCTTTTATTAAGCGTTCGCGTTGTCTGTTTTTCTCAGGAAATTTGTTTAGCTAAAAAAAGAAAAGAAACGTCGAACGGGTAGAAACGCAGCGTCGCGCCGCCCGGTGCGAGTGAATCCCTGTTGACCCCTCGAGCAACAGTGTTGCTACATTCACTGCCACATTTGAAATGCGCCCATAGCGGTAAGCGCCTAGGTGGCAACAGCGCGCACGGTTTAACCCAGTGGCGCTGCGCTGACTGTGGGACGGATGATGGCTGGCGGCCGAGCGCCAGTGATCGAGGATTAATAAAAAATTTACAGTTCCAATTATGAAATATTTCATTCATCATCAATTGGAAATTTAGATTATGAATTCAGTAGTGAAGTGGTCAAAGGGTTCAAGTCGACTTATCTCCTAGTTGAGTTTTTGAGAAATATTTACGAATCTAATGGAGATAGGTGAATTTTCGTAATTACATTCATGGTAGCATTCAATCGGCTCCACAAAGAAGGTTACAACAAAAATTTTGCTATCTCTCTTAGATTCCGAGATATTGATTGAAACCTGGTCAATAGTCAAAATTGACTTATACCGTTTTACCACTTCGCTACTGAATTATTTTACTATTTTTCAATTTCGATTAGTATATTTAAACCTTAATCAATGCAAGTCAGAAATTCTTTGAATATTGAAGAATCGGAGATTGATGGTCATCCCTGTTTGTGTCACTGCTGCTACGTTCACCTCGTGATCAATACCCTCGCAGATCATCTCACTTTTCATATTTATTTTGCGTTTACAATAAGTAAATGAGTCAAGTAACGAAATGAGTGGAGTACATGGAGAATAGGAAAGGAATAACATTCTCGTTCTCCCTCCTTCACGCGCGAGGCTGGGGTGTCGGCACTTTTTTCCTTTGGAAAAAATCTTTTGGAAAAAATCTCTCGGAAAAATACTTTTATTTCGAAACTACTTGTGAAAAAATTTTTTCCGGAAAAAATTATTTGGCAAATTTTTTTTTGGAAATAATTTTCCGGTATTAATTTTTTTGTGAAAAAATAACTTTTTTAGGGAAATAATAACTTATCCAGTAACATTTGATTGTAATTCTTTCTTTTTGTGTTGATAACTGTAAATATTATAATAGTCAAAAAAATATTAATGCGAACTAAATCTAATTAGCTGCAAAAATTTCCTCAATCCATTAAATTATTTATAATGAAATATTTTGAGCAATGCTTCGCAAATATTTTACAATATCAATACCTCCGTACTTTTCAACAAGTTGATTTTTTATGTAAAAAATGGATTCTATTTTTTCTTCTGACATTTTTTCCAAGGAAGTAAAAAAAAAGGAATTAAATTCCGGGAAAAAAAATTTCCCAAGTAATTTTTTACGAAATAAAAAATTCCGGGAAATTTTTCCCGGAAGTTTTTTTCCTTAGGGAATAAGTGCGGGAACCTTTATTTAATTGGCATGATCCAGAGATAGTGGAGCAGATAGTTACTTTGTGTGTAGATACCCGGTGGCGCTCGGCCTAAGGTGTTGGACAGTCTGAGTCAAAAATTTTCCTTGGCCGACACGCTGCCACGTATCTCGATTTCTATTAGTTACAATAGTGTGGGGAAAAACCCAGATTTTTTTGACGGATTAGCCACTCGACATTTGAAAAATTTTCAAATATTTTTTTCGGTAGGAAACAAACCGGTTGACTCGAGTTTACGTCGCGACACGCCGCTCCATACCAGCTTACAATCCAGTATCTGTGGTTGAGCAGTGGCGCAACACTCACACCTCAACTTCGATTTGGTCATGTCATTCCGAGCGAAGAAAGAATCAACGGATACTTTAAAGTTTATTGATGACGAATTAATAAGTCACTGAAACAAACATCAACTTATGGTGTAAGAATTCAAATTTCAATTCTTTTCTAACACTGCGAAGAATATGAGATGGAGAAATTGTAAAAATGCGTGCCATTTTCACAATTATTCGATTAATTGTTCGTTCAAATTACGACGCCATCTGACCTGTCAAACTATTATTGAGATTAGGTGCACTGGGATAGAGTCACTAGGGATGTACTTTAGGTTAAGCTGTGGCCATTCAACTAAAGCCCAGGGAGACGTTTCGAGAGATAGTCTAACGTTGAGCGCGTGATGCGGCTCAGACTCGAGTGCACGTGCCACGCGTGGAGGTTATCCAAGCGGGGGCGAGGCCGTGTATTTCTAGCTGGGTTATGGCTAGGGATGCAACGGACTCTAAATTCTAATTCTCTTGAAATTCTTTAATGCCTAAAGGAGGTTAGACGGTGTATGAGGTGAATTTGAAAGTGAATTTCTGTGGTTCCCGGTAGCTTAGTCGGTAAGAGTGCTCGGCGCGTATCTGGGAGACCCGGGTTCGATTCCTGGCTGGGTGAAGCGGAAATTTTGTCTCTCTAAATTCTAATTCTCTTAGAATTTTTTTTTTTTTACATGCGTCAAGTCATCACATCATAAATGATGTTGTAAATCTTCTCAATTGAGAACTAATTAAAGAAGTTTCTCAAACATACGGTGGCTGAAGCAAGCTATCTCTTACTAAAATTTAGAGAGCTCAAGGCTCAGCCTAGGGGCCGAATTTTGAAGTAACACGGTAATATGATGAACGATAAGTGTCGCGCTCTATCTAGATGTAAAATGACCGTCAAGATTTTCTATGGCCATTTTTGTAACGCGAAATTCCGTCATTTTTTTCTGTCCAAAAATGGTCAATAATTGACCTTCGGTCAGTGACTTGTAATTTACGTGTGAAATGACGGTAAATTGACCAGTCAGCTTTGCTCGTTGAATCCCTAGTTACGGCTCCTCACCCGAGCTCGAGCGGCGTAATTTCTACACGGGAAGCCCATTCACGAAATAAATTCAAAAAATGATAATTTTCAGACAACTGCAATAGAGGAGGAAGGATCATTGGGTGTGAACACAGCAGAGTATTCCAAGGAGAAAGATAATGGAAGAGACGAAAAGCAACGAGTGGTTGTGGCGAGCCCAAGTTTCAGCTCAAAACCACTGAGTGAACTCCAGAGGCTGCTGGATGAAATACATAACAATCTCAGTGTGAATAATGGCCAAGCCACGGATATCATGAACAAGTTACACAGAACTCTCTTGATCCTCCTGACTCTGACCGCCAGTCAGTATCACCTCTACTTATTACGAGTTTGTGATGTTACTGGTCACTTCATCACAAACATTTATCCGATGGATAATTCATCACAGCAATAATCATTACATGAACATCTCATCGGAACATTACTTATTACTGTTTCATATTCTGAATTCTTTCTCGTATATTTGTTCCTTCAACTTCTCAGACTTCCCACACTGTCTCTTATACTCAATCTGAAAACTCTACCAGCTAGACCTCATCTTGCTGAATAGCCAAAGAATGCTATGCAACTATAATTTTTATTCGAAATCATAGTTTGGCATGCGAAAGTAATCCTTATTCGTTAGATGAGCGGTACAAGCATCACTTCGTCTAATAGTTGGAAGAATATTTGTTTCCTTTGTTTGATTGCTCAACGAGATGATTTATAGTATTTTGTTTTGCGTTTTTTCTCTCACGATTAGTGATGCCGTGAGACACTTTACGAGACAAAACTTTGGAGAAATGATTTCGGTCTCGATGAATATGGAAATCATTGCTCTCGTCTTAGTCTGAAAACACGCAGTATCGACTCCACTCATGATGACTCCGAGACAATTTATCTCATCTCGGTCTCAACTTTCTCCTGTTTTTCAATGGAAAATCTCGGTTTTTGTCTCGGTTTATATCGTCTCGGTTTTCTACATATAAAAAACATGAAAAACTGGAAACCGAGATGAGATAAATTTCGAGGCTGGGACGAGAACAAAGATTTCCATGTTCATTGAGACCGAGATCATCTTTCCAAAGTTTTATCTCGTGATGTCTCGTGAAATGTCTCGCGGCATCACCACTCACGATATGTCAGAACAATTTTAGGGCATCCCGCATCTTGGTTTGCACCGCGGAATTTTTATGCTACTAAGGGATGCTATAAAAGTAATGAATTGCAACAATGATGAAAATATACCATGATAAGTAGAGGTGGTTTGTCCTTCCGAATGTTATTCATGACTATATTTAATCCAGCCTATCTATCTTTAAGCGACGCTAACGCATTCGATGGGGTCTATCTGATGGTATTAGAACCAATAGGATTCAATTAATCCTCCCATCACTATCGATTAGATTCTCAGGTCAACGTTTGAACTTCATTTATGCATGATGCATGAGCAGTATGATGCGTAATTTCAAGGCCTTCTCGGAAATGTTCCATGGATAGAACTGAATTGCGGATATTTCTGCATTTCTGCGATGAGTACACGTCAAATTAATTATTCACGAGGTATTACGAATAATCAGACACGTACATGCTACCCCGCAGATAACAACAGCGAGTCTAAGGAGCTGGTGGATTTAATGCGGGCGATAAATTCGTGACTCGGAAACAAAGATGAAGGGATGGCTGATCTCAATATTTATGCGACTCGAGCTTTCCACAGTGAGAGTAGAAAAGTTTCAAACCCCGTCTTGCAACATGATAATTAAACTTACGGGGTTTTTTGGAATTAGGGAGACTTATTTTATGACTTTTTGCTTCTCAAATAGATGAGGAAAAGTTTTGAATAGTGACGAAGAAGATGAGAACTGATTTTGCTTTCAAAACTTCGAAGTTGCTTGTTTCGAAGGGGAGAGGTTTGTACAAGTTTCCCGGGGATGCAATTAGCATAAAGTTTTATTTGAAAGTCTCAAAGATTTTTCAGGATAAAAATGGCTTTTATAAAGGGAAGTTTATCAAGAAATATTTTGTCCCCAAGTTACAAGATTGTTGTCATATCATTATTAATATTTCATTTAAGAATTCATCTTTTGTCTGTGATTAGTGAAGAAGCAGTACTAGAAATCACATTTCTTGTTTGCACAGAGAATACATTTTTTTTGAAAAGACAAAATCTATTTTTGCAATTAAAATTTTTAATCTCGGCGTACGTTTCGCACGTTTGGCCCACAAAATCCTTTTTTGACAATTTTTAATAAATGATTTTTTGGCACAAGTAAGACTTCTTTGAGAATTCTGATATTTTTCTCCCTGTGCACTCCACGGTTTTGAGACAGAGTGATTCCCCGTACGCCTTGTGATACTATTGTCTTCAAAATACCCTGCGGTCACTCATCCACTTAGTGACCGCACTTAGTGCTGCTTAGCTTCAGAGCTTGTCTGTCGTAATAGCGCGGTAGGCCCAAGGGACACCTGTTTTTTCTTTCATTCCTTAATTCAGATTAGATATCGTTGGATAAAAGCCCACGCAGTTAGCGATGATGGCTATAATTCACCTAGGGGAAAACCGGATAAAATGGACAGCGGGGTAAAATAGGATAGCCGAGTAAAATGAACAATTAACAAAAGAATGAGCAGTGAGGTCAGCTGACCCTAGGAAAGCAGAAAATATTATTTCTGGTGTGTGAGAATAGAATGGAACTGAATGCATAGACATCTGTATGATTGTGGTTTATTGCTCTCTAGTGCAACAAACCACAATCTCTGAAGCTCTAAAATTCAAGGAGAGATTTCTCTGAATTTTTCTGATTTTTCATTAATTTCCCCGGAATAATTTAACTAAAATTTACAGTTTCCACTAATTTTTCCAAGAAATTATGAATTTTTAATGACAAAATTCCTTGAAATTTCAGTAGAAATGTTACTTGTTAGAAATTTCCAAAACTCTTAACGTAAATTTCAGTAGAAATTTGTCAACAGTGTACAGCAGTAGAAATCCATTTCGTACTTTCGAGTCAAGTGGTGCCATACATACCGAATCTGGAATTCTCCTTTTTCATTCTCTGATAAAATACGTGCAGTGACACGTTCACAACTAGTATAATGGCGGAGTTTCTATTGTCTCAACTTTACATTCTCCGAAAATTGAATTCAGAGTGAAATTCACTCATTCTGATTCACCACTCTATTGCTAAATGTCGGTAATTGTGTAGTGAAATGATAAGTGTGTAGTGAAATGATTAATGAAATGTTCCATTTTGTCACAATGGAATAACGTTTCGTGGACATGGCTTCTCACTTGCCGTTGTTTCTATCATCTTCGACACATGTCCAACTGAAAATTAATCTCGAAGTGAAATGGTGTTGTTGTAAATACACTAATTGTGAACTTCACTCAAGTGGCTTGCATCATATCTGGGTGGTCGTTCGCAGGATACACTAGGGGGGGGCGAGTGGCTATTCATCCTTCTGTCAGCTGAATAGGGGAGTTCCGCAGGGATCTGTTCTAGGTCCTCTGCTATTCCTCCTGTTCATTAATGATGTTGGTGTAAACTTAGGGCCTGGAGTTCGGCATCTGACATATGCTGATGATCTCTAGATTTACCTGACTTTTCCACGTGAGGAGTTAGAGGATGCCATTCGCCGCATGAGCAATGCTGCTAACCGTGTGACAGACTGGGCTAATGCAAATCGGCTGAAGCTGAATGTGACGAAGACGAAAGCCATCATTTTTGGCTCTAATGTCTTCGTTAACGATGTCTATTTCTTGACCGGTTTGTCTGTCAACGTTGGTGGCTCTGCAATTCCGTTTGATACTTCCGTGCGGAGCCTGGGAGTGGTTCTGGATAACAAGCTCTCTTGGAAGGGACATGTGGCGCATGTGACGCAGAGGGTTCACTTTGTCATGTACCGTCTTCGGTTCTTTAGAGCCAGTACCACACTGGGTCTGCGTAAACACCTCATTTAGGCTTTGGTGTTCCCCCTGATCGACTACTGCTGTCTCGTGTATGAGGGTCTGTCTAGTGTACTTGCTACTGTGATGCAGCGTCTCATCAATATGACGGTTAGATACATTTTTGGACTAAGGAGAGACGAGCACATCACTCCCTATCGTCTGTGGCTTGGCTGGACGACGTGTGAAGTGCGCAGGAAGTACTTCCTTGCGTGCCTCACTTACAACATCCTCCGCTTTGGTCAGCCGGTGTATCTGGCTGACTTTTTTGTGGCCAGTCAGGCCGTGCGGCCTGTGAGGGGTGATGTGACTCCCCTTATGATCAAGCCTTTCAGGACTGAAGCCATGCGATCCTCCTTCCACGTGTCTGCGGCTTATTTATGGAACTCAATTCCCTCTGCAGTGTAGGACCTTCCCACACTGTCGTCTTTCCGATTAGCTGTGTGGAATTATCTGAGGGACAACTCTTAATGCTTTTCCTACCCTTTGCTCTCCTCTTATCACTTCCTTTCCCCTGCTGCCCCTGTCTTCCTATCCCTTCTTATTCTTACACTCTTCCCTCTTTCATCGTTACCATTTCGCACTTGCTATTCACCCGTTTGTTTACGACCCACCGAAGCTTGCTCTTTCTGTTGCATATTGCTCCTTCTCATNCTGAATAGGGGAGTTCCGCAGGGATCTGTTCTAGGTCCTCTGCTATTCCTCCTGTTCATTAATGATGTTGGTGTAAACTTAGGGCCTGGAGTTCGGCATCTGACATATGCTGATGATCTCTAGATTTACCTGACTTTTCCACGTGAGGAGTTAGAGGATGCCATTCGCCGCATGAGCAATGCTGCTAACCGTGTGACAGACTGGGCTAATGCAAATCGGCTGAAGCTGAATGTGACGAAGACGAAAGCCATCATTTTTGGCTCTAATGTCTTCGTTAACGATGTCTATTTCTTGACCGGTTTGTCTGTCAACGTTGGTGGCTCTGCAATTCCGTTTGATACTTCCGTGCGGAGCCTGGGAGTGGTTCTGGATAACAAGCTCTCTTGGAAGGGACATGTGGCGCATGTGACGCAGAGGGTTCACTTTGTCATGTACCGTCTTCGGTTCTTTAGAGCCAGTACCACACTGGGTCTGCGTAAACACCTCATTTAGGCTTTGGTGTTCCCCCTGATCGACTACTGCTGTCTCGTGTATGAGGGTCTGTCTAGTGTACTTGCTACTGTGATGCAGCGTCTCATCAATATGACGGTTAGATACATTTTTGGACTAAGGAGAGACGAGCACATCACTCCCTATCGTCTGTGGCTTGGCTGGACGACGTGTGAAGTGCGCAGGAAGTACTTCCTTGCGTGCCTCACTTACAACATCCTCCGCTTTGGTCAGCCGGTGTATCTGGCTGACTTTTTTGTGGCCAGTCAGGCCGTGCGGCCTGTGAGGGGTGATGTGACTCCCCTTATGATCAAGCCTTTCAGGACTGAAGCCATGCGATCCTCCTTCCACGTGTCTGCGGCTTATTTATGGAACTCAATTCCCTCTGCAGTGTAGGACCTTCCCACACTGTCGTCTTTCCGATTAGCTGTGTGGAATTATCTGAGGGACAACTCTTAATGCTTTTCCTACCCTTTGCTCTCCTCTTATCACTTCCTTTCCCCTGCTGCCCCTGTCTTCCTATCCCTTCTTATTCTTACACTCTTCCCTCTTTCATCGTTACCATTTCGCACTTGCTATTCACCCGTTTGTTTACGACCCACCGAAGCTTGCTCTTTCTGTTGCATATTGCTCCTTCTCATCTTACTCTGCTTTTTATGTATCTATTATTATTAGCATGTATTGTTTACTCCATGATATTCACTGTGATTTACTGTATACCAGCTAATGTGGTTTTACCACCATAATTTTGTACAACATAATGTACAGCAATAAACTCAATCAATCAATCAATCAATCAAAAATGTATATTTAAATAGACCATTAGACAATTACACTTTCAAAACAAAAAATTGTTTAAATTTTAACCACGACAAATCTACATGAAATATTTTGTTATTATTAGATTGATTGATCGATTCATAAAAGAATTTCGGAAATTATTCTCATGGTATTCACAAGTTTGTTGATTTCCCATCATTTGCAAAATTTACTGTCACCGATGATTTGAAAAAAAAAGAAATTTTAAAATTGATTCAATTATCATTAAAACGAGCATTTTGCGCTGATTCTATGAGAAATTTATGAGAAAAAATAAGAAAAAGTCAATAGATTTCGATTTTTCTATATGAATATTCTTTTGAAATTTTTTCTATAAGAATACTTGGGCATGTTTTTTTCCCTTGGATATCCTGCAATGCAAAATAAAACAAAATATTGCGAAAATCCGTACCCAATAGTTTTAATAGAAAAAATCTCAAGAAAAAAATTCAAACAGAAAAAATCGAAATCTACTGAGTTATTCCTATCAAATATCTAATAGAATCTGCGCAAAAAACAAATAGAATTTTCTATCAAAAATTCTCTACCGATTTCGCAAAGGTTTTCCATTGAATTTTTTCATATGTGATATAATATTTGATTTCCATAATGACTTTAAAAATTCAAGCTACGATTGAAATATCCTCACCATGGCTTTCCAACAGATCTCCCTCCAAAGATTACAATTCAATATAACACCTCCCCCTTCGAAAATCCACCGATAAATCTCCCTCAAATACCCCAAAACCTAATTAAATCGTGCCACCCACACACAATGTCACAATAAATCAATCATTCCTCTTCCCTAGATTAATGAAAACAAAGCTCGAATTACCGGAGTGTACAAACCAAGGTTACGTGCTGGATGGTTACCCAAAAACTTGGAATCAAGCACGTGAATTATTCAATAACACACTTATAATAACTTCAAACTCCACATCCTCATCCGAAAATTTGAGAATGTTTCCCGAGTTTGTGGTGCAACTCGAGGCAACCGATGAATTTCTCTGCAACCGTGTACTAAATTTACCCGAGAGTGTGATACAGGGTACCCATTATGATGTAGAAAGCACGATGAAGCGCCTCGAGGAATACAGGTTTGTGTATTATTATTATTATTAGCTGGACACTGTTGTGTATTTTACATGAGGCATATCGCTTTACCTCCGGTCTGATGCTTTATTATCCGCTCCACTGTATGGAAGATAGCTCGATATTGCGCGCATCTATTGTCGACATGGTGTAGTTTTTTTTAAAGCAACAAATATTCCCTCATTTTTCCTTTCATCGGTAACTTACGAGTTTGAGGTTTGTGTTTATAGGAAGACAAACACTGGAAATGATATGACGCTGGGATTCTTCATAGAGAATGGAATACATCCGCTTATTGTGGATGTCGAAGGAGAGTCGGGCGGTATGCTCGCAATTTTTCAAAGATGCCTCGACACAATCGGGCAACCGAGAAACTACGGTGATTACTCCCATTTCAATACCCAAGTTGTTCACATTTTTTTACTTTTTCAATTTTTCCGATAACAAAGGTAGCGGCGAGATGAGAGTATTGTGCATGATCAAAGAGCTTTGCGATATTTTTCCTCGGTTTTCTTGTACGTTAGCTTGGAAATTCTGTCTAGCTTGGTCATGAATAAATTCACTTGTTGGACGTGGATTTTTTTGACGATGGTGAAGGAAATCGTTTAGAAATACCTCAAAAGACCTTATTTGTGAGCCATTTGATTTTCTAGGGAAAAAGTCATTTTCATGAATTTCCGGAAGTCTCGTCGTGCCAGGGATATTCTTAAGATTGTCCGCCAAGTTTTTCATTTCTGTGAAATACATTTCGTTTGTTGTTAATACTCTTTACCCGTTTTTCTTCTCAATCCTTCTCAATCAGATGCCGAGTGTAACAGCTATTTTCCATTAATGATGTTATTAATGAGTTTGCCTTGATGGAGAAACGAAAATTGCGATAAAAATAGTAAGAGCAGGGGCAAAGGCACGGATAAACGTTCACGATCGAAGAGCACCACAATATTTTTAAAATTTTTCCATCCCCCTTTGCATCATGAATTCTGTTTCCCCATTAAAACAACGCTCCACATGTAAACAACTTGTTGAATTACATAGTCCGAGAACCATAATATTGAACCATGAATTTTAAGGGGCCGGGTTGAATTGAGGAATTTTTTTATCACACTTTTACGATGAATTGTTAAACACTTCCGTCTACCTCCTTTATTGATAATTGAGTAGCGAAGTGGTAAAACCGTTCAAGTCGACTTATCTCCAAGTTGAGTTTTTGAAGAATGTTTCCGAATCTAAGGGAGATAGCGAAATCTTCGAAATTGCGTTTATTGTAGCTCTCAATCGGCTCTACAAAAAAGGTATTGAAAAATATTTTACTATCTCCTTTAGATTCCGAGATATTCATTGAAAACTGATCAATAGTCAAAATTGACTTGTACCGTTTTACCACTTCGCTACTGAATTGTTCTGAGTTTCTAGTTTTGTTGGGATAAGTTGAATTAGATAATGAATGTGAATGAAGAAAATAACAGCACGATTACCGATAACAAAATTAGAAAAAAGAGAATTAAGCCGAATCTTAAAACTAGAAGACCAAAACCACTTTGATAGTGAGAAAAGTTTTTTGATAAAAAAAAAATCGGTTGATTATAAAAAGAAAAGTTATTTAAATGTGTATTGAAATGTTAACGTAATGATTAAAACTATTTAATAAAATTCAATAAGAGGAATATTAAATCCTTAGTATTTTCATTGTATGGCTTCAGTTCTCAAAAATCTCACCCCGTGTGAGTGCGTGGTGGAGGTAGCTAAATACAGTCGCATTCCCCGAATTCACTTCCCCTATTTCCCCATGAGTGCGACTGTAACGGGAGTCTACTGTATAAACAAGAACAATGACGATGTAGTGCAAAAGAACTGAAAGTTCTTCGTCATTAGGTGATGATATTCTTTTGGTCTTTGTGACCGGTATAAACAGGATGACGTCAGCACCTTGTTTACAAATTCCAGGCAGATATAGAATAGAAAATCCGGAATTCAATGGCACAAAAATTACTGAATTCCAATAGTAGACTTTCAAATGGTGAACATTACAATTTCTCAATACTTCAGCCAATTACGTTGCGATTGATTGCCGCCATGATTGCAAACGATAACGCAGTTGTCAATGGAACTTGATGTGATAGTTAATATCGTTCTTCATGTTGATAAAATTATCGGTTCATGGTTGCAATGAACATTGCTCAAACTATCGCACATAATGGTGTTCCAACTATCGCGCATACCTAATGTCGCAAAAATCATCGTAGTAAATATCGCAATAATCGCAATGTCGTACCCTCACCATTTTTAATCATGGCGGCATGCCGAGAGACTACCATGACGTTATTGGATAAATCATTGAAAAATTTCAAGGCCCACTATTCAAAAATTTATCATAGTAATTTCATAATTCTTATGCCATTGAATTACTCATTTTCCATCCTATATTTCCTCACAATTTGTAAACAAGGTGCTAACGTCATCCTGTATAAAAATCTGCTAGGGCAGTTCGTAGAGTACAGATGTTTCTTCCTGGTGCAATTTTAATAACGAAAGAAAAATAAAAGTCTAATTCAGTGGCTTTAACAATTATTCATCTACCCATTTCCGTTACATCTAAAATAAAGAAGTAAATTCTTCATTTAAGGAGGGAAATGGAAACAATAGTGCATGGGCGCGTGTTTGGCGGTAAAGGAAATTGTGTCGTCCAAGTTGTATAGGAAAATAACGAGTGATTTTCAATTGAGCACAGGGCCAGCAGTCGGAGAGCGCGTGGCAGAGGCTGTGGTACGTGACGTTACCAATGTGCGGGAAACCTCAGTTATCGGAACCGAAGGAGAGGACGAGGTGAATTTTCAAAGGAAAGTGATACGAGATGAAGACATGAGGGAGCGGGTACAGTATTAGTTGGATGACACGTGCAACGACGTTGTCATTATTTTTATTTTTCTATTCTTAATAGTTTTTTCATGGACTCATCCGTTTTCATTTGTCATTCTCTACCTTTTCTTTGTGCTTTCCGTTCATTTTTCGCGCAACTCAAGTTTCCCATTTACGGGAAACTTCGATCTTCCTTTTCCGTACGTGAAAAATTTCTCGCTCCTGACAAATCTTAGCCCTAAATTTTTCGTATTTAAAAATTTTGTCTACTATTTGCAATTCATCCCGCAAGAAAAAAATCCATTGAAAAACCTAGCGATTTTTTTTAATTAAAAAAAAAATCTAGCGAATTCCATAGCAGATTCTATTGGATCTCTGTTGAACTTCTATTGAAAATTCTATCACAAATGAAAGCAATCATTTCCACCATTATATTCATATTCTGTATTATCCCCAGGGCTATTTCACTCGGTCAAATCTTAAATGTTTCAAGGTATAAATTACACGGAAAGCAGGATGTTATATGCTATCTTTCGACTTTGCAAACATCTATACGAAAAAACAATGAAATAATTAACAACACATCCTGCTTTCCATGTAATGTGTACCTTAAAACATCTAAGGTTTGACCGACTAAAATAGCCTCGGGAATAATGCAAAAATTCTATTAGTTTTTGGTCAAGTCTATCAAAGTTCTAAGTTTTCAAATTTTCAAATTTTCAAATGTTGAATTTCTTGTTGAAATAATACGAAGCAAAAATTAATCTTATATTTTTCCCTCTATGTTTATATTTGGATATGAAGAATTCTGAGTAGTGTGAGCCATGATGTTCATGCTTTGGTTTTTAAGTCTAAACACAGTTGAATGAGTAGAACCTATTGAATCTACGTTATCAGAGGTTTAGGGCGTAGTAGCCCTCGGTCATTTACTCAGTTCCTCCGAGAAATTGGTAAAGAGCGAATGTGTCTTCCGAGCGTATTGAATAAAAAGTAGAAATAGTAAATGTTCTTTTCACTCATTTATACGGATTCGATTATTCAAAATATCCCATTTCTCAAATTGAATTTGGCAGATTTTAAAGTTCTAAGTTCTTTCAACTCTACCTTTCATCTCTTTTTATGAAAAAAATTAAACAAAAACAAAAATATGCATCTGAAGTTTGGACTGCCAGTTAGTTTCATTAAGTAACATTTATGTTACATTTTGAATTAATCGATTAAATACACACATTCTGGCGAAGAGCCATTCATCTAAAATTCGCTTCTAAAAAAGAAGAGACATTGTTATTTATGGTTCTAGGTGAATTCATCCCGACTACTCATCCCAAACCAATTCATCCCGGACAATTCACCCCCAACAAATTCGTCCCAAAACAAATCAATCCCACGACAAATTCATCCCAAACATTAAATTCCAATGGAATTTTTCACAGTCACAACAATAATTTAGGGAGAGAAAAATATTAACTTTATTTTCGCAGAAAAAGGCACCAAACAACATCAAAATCAATCACACACTTCGCGATTCCCTCCTAGTATTGTTTACACAACCGATCAACTGATTAACAGGAAACATTGCAAAAAAACGGTCAAATCCGTTGACCACCACAGCATCAATTTACAAAATCAGTACAAAACTTGAAAATTAATCCGATAAGTCACGCGCTTCAGCCAAGCGTATTCTCCATCCAAAGAGTAATAATAAAAAAAATGGGGTGAAACTGTCGTGGGATGAATTTGTTTTGGGATGAATTGTCATGGGATGAATTATCCTGGGATGAATTAACCGGATACCGCTATTTATCCATGATTTTCGCGTCTAGATTATTTGAAAAATCATATGACATAAATTAATGTTCTTTTTCATTTTATATTAAGTCAATATTTTATAAAATATGTCATAGCTGTGAGAAGATAAGGTGCGTGGTCTTTTTTAAACGGTGTGAATCTTTGATGAATTGTTATCATTTTTCGATGTGAAGTTGTTATTTTTAATTTTGTAAATGGAATTGATATGGATCTTTTCGGACGCTCACTACCAATGGAATCGTTAGAAATAAAAAAAGACAAATACCGCTTAAAGTAACAGCCAAATATCTTCGGTCGGATAGACTCGATCCCCTGCTTATTTAGATTTGCTATTGACGCATCAACTCCTGTCTTCTCAGTGCTAGCTCTGAATTTATTATTATCTTTGGCAGCTCACGACTGTTTGCTTTGTAACTGCTAGTTGCAATGTTATTGAGTTGACATTGAGAAGAGAATCACTCGACGGTAAACTTTCACGGTGCCCTTTATTTGACAGAGATAAATAATTCAGAAAAAAATCGCTGAAACCTGAGAGCGAAGCTAGGACCTATGACTTCATAGGCAGATACCTTAAAGAATTTTTAAGATCAAAATCTGAAATAAATTCCAAACGGAAATAAATATGAATAGATGTAGGGGTCGAAGGTCGTTGAGTCGGGAAGTATAATCAATCCACAACTTAACAATTCGTTCAACTTAATTGTTGGTTATTCATTCGCATCTTAAAATATACACAAAAGTGGTGGAAAAAATTGTTGAGAATTTTTGTCTGAATTGTCCGGGTCAAAGCCCGGAAATTTTTATCATGTTTAATTTCCACTGACATTTCCAGAATTATTGTCGTTGAAAAATCAAATATTCCATTTATTTTCTGTTCGAATGATCTGAAAATCAATAAAATACTTCATTTTTCAGTTCAATTATTCCGTGAAAATCTGGAAAAGAATATCAGGGATATTTTGAAAGTTCACTTCACTTTGTTTCTGAATATTCATGTTCCATTGGAATTTCAAATTCAATGTTAATCGATTCATGATGCAATCCTGTGAACCATAATAAAATGTAAAAACAGTATCATATAACCTTTCAATTCGTTCTCTACCTCCTATTAAACCTTTCATTATTCCCAAAAATTAATCACTGTCAATAATACGAATAATGAATGAACATTAATCATCTGTGATAATCCCTTGGTTTAATTTTAAACTCCTACATTTCATGCGCGCCCTTTCCCTTATTTCAAGAAACTTTTAACAGTGCCATACAATAAGCTGGATGATCGACTTGCTGTGTATTCGGTTGAATTCGTATTCGTAATCGGATCAAATAATACAAAGGTAATGCCCGACGTGTAGCACGCGTGTACAGGTGTCTGTGTTTCACGGTCGATGGTGGCCAACGCGAGCCCTTGTGTTCGGATTAGAGATGCAAAATGACCATCAGATTTGAGACTGCGTCATATGACCAACAATTATGGTTTTGTGGTGGTCATACGACGCACAAATTTTTCAATAGTAATACCCCAAAAGCTTCAAAATTATCGGATATTCCCTGATAGCTTCGTTGCAAATAAATGAAGGTGTCAAGTTTTGCAGGTAAAAAACACCGAGCGCTTGCACGAGGGCTTTTTCTGCAAAACTTGGCACGATGGTTTGTTTGCAGGGAAGCTTGAGGGAAATACCCGATTAATTTTGAATTCTCGAGGGGTATTTGTCGGATTATTTTTCCCAATCGCATTTTGGCCAAACAGAGTGCAGTGGACAACATCAGGAGGTGAATTGGGGAAGATTTGAACAAATTATGTTAATTGAATAACCCGATTTCCATAGACTGTCAAATATAAAATTCTATCTGAAATGAGCCGAAAAAATGAAGAGCTACTGCGAAATATTCAGGTAAAAAACTGAAGAACTACTGTGAAATATTCAAAAGCTAGGAGGAAATATCCGAAATAAAACTGTTGGGTAGCCGCAAATACTGCGCTCTGATTAGTCGAAATACAATTGGGAAAAATAATCAACTAAAAATGATAGTCACAAATAATTAGGAAGCAACTTGTCCTCAAAACATCTATATCGATGCATAATGACGTTCATAACTAATTTCTAATTTGCAGCGGTCACAAGTAAAAAAATAGTTTCATTTATAGAGATGAAAAATGAGTGTGATTTTTGTTTCAAAATGCATACTAGGCAAATTCGAAATGAATTCAAATATAGATTAATTCAGAAAAAATGAAGTTGCACCGACGGCGGAGGCTGTGTGCCCCTAGGGAGCAAATAGCCACCTAATTAGGTGGCTGTTAGGTGGCTGTTAGGTGGCTACTTGTTTTGGTGTAAAAAAGGGTAAATGATACCTGGAACGATTATGGATGTAAATCTATGAATTATTAATGAATTTTAGTAGCTTTAATGACATTAATTTCCATTAATTAAGGAAAATAATAGTTTGCGTATTGAAAGGGAAAATAAATCAGTAGGGGGAACGCCGCCGGATGGCGGCAGTGTCGACTTCTCGCCCAGGCCGATAAAGTCGGCAGCAGTGGCGGGAGAAAATTGATTATCCAATAGGTTCATATTGGCATTTTTTTAAATTAGTTTAATTCTGTACGGACCCAATTGCCCTACGTGAACAATATTATCACAAATAGATATGTAGGAGGAGAATACTGCGGGTCAAATAGGGGCGAAGAGGGGCATCAAATAATTAGATAAATAAAATAATGGAATCTAAAAATTTTGAACTTTGTGAGAAGTGGGGGGAAGGGTATGTATACGGAGGGTTGAGATTTTCACCCGTTGATGGGGGGGG